GGTGGATAGAAACTGGCTTCATTTTCAATACATTACTTGGCCTACTTCTATGTCATATACCATGTACATGTATTGGCTAATAATAGGCCTACATACCCTTCTTTAACACTAAATATTTGGATAGTGATCATTACTACTGACAAAATGACATATAATTATAAGGCATTCCTAATTATAATCCTAAACCGAGGACTTTGAATAAAGCACCACGGAAAAAAAAGAGGCCAGCGTACCAAATGAAAAGGCAAGTGTGTTTTGTGTGTACATTGATAGCCTAGGCTATTGAGCAAACCGCATATTATAGGCTAGCCCAGCCTAGCACCGCAGTCTCTCTCTGTTTGGCGACTTCGCGAACGGACAAGCAAGCAAACCGGTCCTCCTCGAGTGAGCTCATCATGAAGCAACATGCGCTCATGTACGGCATGCATAATGAGGTAATACTCATTACTTGTACAGTTGATATTATTTATGCAATAGACAAATTTAATCAAACAAATTTGTGTGCTGACACTTAAGATATGCTATCGATTTCTTTCAGCTAAATGTGAATCCAATTTCTATTTTACGTTGAAACGGTGTTTTGCGTGGTTAATGCATGCAGAAAACACAGAACACTCCCTGTGTTCATTATGGATGCAAATTGTATGCAATCATAGACGGTTGTTTTTTTGCAGGGGGCGACTACACGCAACAGCAGCAGCGGTGTGGTTGTTGTACAGGTTTGTGTGCATGCCGTTTATATTTGATTATTTATATGAATAACAAGAATATTCAAGACCAAAATATGAATTGATCCTGTTTTAAACTTTCTGACCCCACTTCAGCTGATGGCTGTGTGTGTACAAAATATCTCGAGTCCCGAGCGAGCATGTATTTGTTTACCAGTGCAGTGGCAGTGCGAGAAAGCAAAGAGGCTGTGACTGAACATGAACCATGATGAATTCATGGTGATTTTAACGGGATTCAAACTCCTACCCTCGCAGTGTACCTTAGCTTTACTGTTCAGACTGACAGTGATTCACTATGTTGTCATCCTAGAAGGTTCACAATGTTTGTAAATCTGTGCAGATTTAGGCAAGAGATGTTAGTGATTACAGCGACTACTGGATCTACACGGCGGGGGCGGCCGTTATTTTTAGTAATTTGTACAGCAATTCGTCAATCTTGGGCCGAATGCCCTTCTCTTGTCTAGTTCAATGCTCATATTTATGCTGGATTACTTTGTATGCAGATGACAAAACCTAGATCTAGATCTAGCACATAAAGGTTTAGATCTATATAATCTAGATTTAGAATATTTATCTGTTTTAGCAGTTGTTTTTTGTTTTTTGTAGTCTGCTTCTTTATTGTACTAAAATAAATGTAGATCTAGACCCAAGATTTGTTTAGGCTATGGCTATGGCTTCATTGTTGTGGTTGGTTTGTTCTAAATAAAATAGTACAGCCTAATATGTAATAGCGATAATATACTATACGTTAGTCTCTTTTAGTTATTGTGAGGTCTTTCTCAGTTTTTTATTCCCAGAACAGGCAGTCCATTTACTTTCATTAAGGGCCTTCATTAAGTGCCAACAAATTATTTGTAGCAGCAGGTGAATACAATAGGAGAGGGCACTTCTGAGAATAAAACAATTATTTTGTTTAACTGCTAGATCTGAAGCTTAAGACCAAGACCAAGAGTGATATATGTGTAATTAGAAAATTCTGAATATAATGTTTTGAAAATGATTATCTAGATCTAGAGAGATCCATTTTCTTTCAGATCCCACTTGTTAGGTGTACCGTAGAATTACCAAGTTTTATCTGACATTTTGGACTATTTTGAGTCACTAGGACCGTGAGGTCAGAAACGAAAATTGAATGTTCTATCTACTCTATCAAAATCGTAAGATTATTCAGAGTCGTTATCAAGATGTGAATTCAAGGAATTGCATTAGAAAAAGCTTGACACGATGTGGAACTCAAAATCTTTGACGTCAAATTTATCAAAATTAGGTAGGGCCTACTGAGCAGCTTTTGTTATTCTGAGGTCGCGCACTGGCTCTCCAAATTAAATAAAGTTATTATGTTCTCATTCTCGTATGATACCCCACAAAGTATACTCCCATCCAAACAGCTGAATGAACGCATGATAGTTAGCAGACATACAAATTACTTCAAAACATGTTCGCAAAAACACACAGTAGTGGAAGCACACATTCACACAGAGGCAAATTATCCCACTCTTATTATTGACAACTTCTGATGTTTGGCCAGGTTTCTTTGCTGATTTTGATTAGTGCACAGTGTATTTGTGGAATTTTTGGGTTAGTAATAGACTAAATGTTGCTCCTGAAATGTTTAAAAATACAAAAATGCAGGAGGGCTTTTTTGCATTTTATAAAGTCATGATAAAATATAGCCATCAGGATGGACCTTTATTTGCTGGCTCTAATTATTATTTTTTTTTCGTAAGTATGTTTTACGGCTGTTGCAACTGCATAAAAGTTCATATGAGTGCGCGGGACACATTCATTTTTTTTTTGTTTAGGTAGGAATTAATTTTGAATTTTGCTCGGGTGGTGGCTGAAGCTTACTCTTTTCGTCCTTTTCTGAGAAGGCTAGGTGTTAGATCTTACCGAGTATAAAAGTATAAGACCAGGGGTGTGGCTGAAACTGAAAGACAGCAGTAAGAAGGAGCCACGGAGTAGGCAGTAGAAAGGCTGCTGAAAGAGTCAGGAGCCCAGAAGAGGAGGTGAAGGGGTGGGGGTAGAAAGTGGAGTCGAAAGCAGACCATAGAACATTGTTAGATTGCAGGTAAGGAGGTGGAAAGAGACAATTTTAGAGAAGAAAATGTTCCAATGCTAGCCGGATTCAAACCCCGGACCTATAATTGAATGAGAGGAGAACACCTATCGACCACGAGACCCCCCCAATAATTTTAAAAAACATTTATTCTTGTGCCATAATAGATTGACAATGTCATGAAAAAAACCCATCGAATGCTTATATGTGTTATAAACTTTCCATTAAAGTATGTATACAATTTGTTTTTTATGAATGAACAGATTGAAAGGCAGACAATAAATTATAAGATGAGGGGAAATAGAGAGAGGGAGAGAAGGGGGTTGCAAAAAACATATACAGATTATGAGGAGAGAGAGAAGGAAGATGTTCACACAAATGAAGAGTAGCAAAGCTGATCATAGGGGAGAACATATGTGTCCCTGCAGTGTGTAATGTTTTATTTCTTAAGGTTTGCAAAAAATGTACTCACTTTGAACACTTTTCTTTTTAACAGATTTTCTCCTCTGGCCTAGTTTTGTTGTAAGAAAATGTTCATAACAATTGGGAGATGTGCGCGCCTCACAGGTTTGAAAAAATTGAAACCATTTCCATTGATTTGTCCATCAGAAGACAATTGCTTGACCTGCAGTATCATTCGTTAGGGAGAAGAGAGTGTCATGAGTGCCATGATATGCTAGTATATGAGCAATGTTTCACTCTGCTAGTAATTTAATCAAAATTGTGTGTTTGTTTCAGATTTACCTGTTTGACCGGTCGTCATGGGATGTGGCTTCAACCATTGGTAGCTGAGCGGGAATGGGTGTTTGAGATGAGTTAATGATGGCAGCTAAAAAGATAAAACATGAACAGTTGTCTCCCTCTGATCTGCCTCTTATACCAGCAAGCACCTCTCAGATGAGCCAGCCGTTCGGTTTTCCTTTAGTGGGTGTGTCAGGGTTGGGTGGTGGTATGCCGATAGCAATGCTTGGCCAGTCTTTGCTGATTCCCCAAGCTGAACCTCAGACTCCGCTACAGACTGAACAAATGTTGCTTTTGCCGACATCGTCTCATTCTGCCTCTGGGAGTACTGGCCTGATCACATCACCGCACATTGATTCCAAACTTCAACCGTCTCCTTTAGTTCAACCTTCTCCATTTTTGTTTAACAGCACTGCATTACCTCTTGTCTTGAACCCACCGGTACTGCCTTTACCCTCAGCTGATTCATCTCCATCACTACTCACTCAAGCCTCACAACGTGATGTTGACCCTTTAAACTTGAAATTGTCACGTGCAAATGAAAACCTTGCAAGGGGTTCTGGTGTAAATGCTGCTTCTAAAAGGAAGTTAACTACATTGCAGTCTGCTATGTTCACTGAGAGTAAATCAAAAGAGGAAGAGGATGTTGGTAGTGAGGGCAACAAAATGTTTGCACATAATAATGGAACACTCTCGGGCAGTCCTGCGACGAGTGTGGGAAAGCCTGAAGTTTCTGGAGCAGCCCCTGCAGCCCTGAGCAACATAGATCTCTCAAAAATCATTTCTAGTTTGCCATCGGGCTGGAAGGTGGTGGGTCTCACTGGTCTCAATGGAAATAATGATGCTGTCCCAGTCCCGACAAAGAATGAGCAATGCGGCACTTTGTCAGCGGACCGCGAGTCTGAGAAACGGTTGCCTGCTCCGTCGGACAGCGGTCAAGACCAGCCTGGTGTGGTGTCGGTTAATTTGAACAATTCTTTTCCTCCATTTAAATCTTCTACCTTAATGAAAAATATTGTGGGCTCTGAGTTAAAATTCTCTCTCCAGATGGATAACATTCCATGCTCTCGAGAAATTACCGTCAAAGCAGAATATGAGAATGGGGATGAAGATCTGGAAGCAAAAAACAGTGCATGTTTACCAAAAGGGACTTTGCCTCAGACTTTTGGAGCTTTAGATCAACAGTGGACCATTGTAGGTATTACATCCATATCGACATCATTAGTGAGTACTTCTGTTGTAAACACCATGGCAATGTCAAACTCATCCACATCCACGTCTACTTCACACAGTGCTGCTTGTAATGAAGGGGCCAAGGGGAATTTAACAGGGTTGTCAATTCCAAGTGCAAGTTCTTCAGATCCTCTTAACTTTCAAGTACCATTGAATAAAAGTACTTTTCTGCCATCTGGTGGCCTGTCGAGACATGAGAACTTGCATGTGTTGAAGCCAGGCAGTAGTAATAAACCTGAACATGGTATGGCCACAGCCGGGAAGCAGGAGGAGATGAAGTGGACAGTGGTCGGTGTCACAAACACCATCCCGACCTCCAATGTCTCCGCAGCTGCCCAGCTGTCAGCCACAGATCAGGGTTATGGGAATATCGCATCCCAAGCAGCAACGTTATCGTCCAACAAAACATCACCGTTTCTCTCTATGATAGGGGGTACAGCTTTAGCGTTACCTGTTCCACATAAGTCTGAAGAGACTTCAAACAGCAGTAAGGGTCTTAGCTCTGGAGAAACTGCCCAGCCAGATGAATCAAAATGTCTGAAAAGCCCAGCGCTGCCTAAGGTTTCAGATAAAACGCCTCCCCCCAAAATATCTGACCAATTGGGCACAGTTCAAATAAAACGCGAGATGTCCGACAGTGAGTCAAGTTCAGGGGCTGAGGAAGTGAATAGACAAAAACCTCAAATCTCAGTGGAAAAACTGCCCGTTGATATTGCTGACAATGCTGTTATATCAAATGAACGTGGAGCAGGTGTAGGAGAAAAAAGTGAATGGAAAGTGGTAGGCATCACTCCACTAGGCTCCACGCCATCTCTGAGTCCTATTTTGACACAGCCCAAAGCACCTTTTCTCCCCCAGTTGCCGTCACTAGCGCCCAGCGGCCTGCTGTCACCTGTGAGTGCTATGACTGCCACATCCACAGCCTCCACATCCACTTCAGTGCCCTCATTTAGCCAGCCAGGCTCTGAGGCTCATCAACCATCCTCTACGCAGCAGCTTCCTTTTTGCAACATGTCTAGTATAGGACTACCACTGTCGCCCCTCAGTGCGGCAGTTCCAACAGTTGGCAGCCATATTGCGCAGCAGACGCTTCTACAGATGATTCAGAGTCAGTTTTTGAGCCCCAGTAATCCAGCTCTGATGGATCCACAGAGTCAGTGGAATGTCGTTGGGGTGCTGGCCAACAATCAGGTGTCGTTGGTCAATTCTGCAAAGAATGACAGTGCCGTGTCGAGTAACAGTGCCGTGTCGAGTAACAGTGACAGCTCGTGTGGCACCAGCGCTGTCTCAGAATCTGGGCATCTGAGGGGGATCTCACATAATTCCAAAGCAATTGGGGAGAACAAGATATCCTCGAGCTTTCTGGAGCCGAAACGCGTCAGGGGGAGATGGAAAACCTTGAAGCGGACCTCCGAGTGGAGACTTCATCAGTTTAAATGCAAAGACCTTGTCGGCAAGTGTTCTGGTAGCAAAATGAAAAAAAACACTGTGTCAAATTTGTTGATGATGAAAAGAATGCAGAGGGGAGGAATTGAGAGTGATGAAGAAGGTGTGCATTCCTACCCGGGAGATGTCAGCTGCCCCAGTGAAGGAGATTTAAGTTCAAGGTTGTATGAGGAGCCTTCAGAGATACTTGGGAGAAAATCAAAACAGAGGTCACTTCGTTCGTATGCTGGAAACAGAAAGGTGTTCAGTAGACCGTCCCACCATGAAATAGAGAAAATTAATTTGAGAAGCGGCACACAGCTTCCTGTCCTAAATTATAAGTCAGACGATGATATGGAGGAGGAGGCGTCTGCAGGTACTCTTGCTTACGATAACATTAAAATTGAAAAGATTGAAACGGATAGTTGTGAAGTGAACGCGGTCAACGAACTCCTCAAGTTTGACCAGGATAAAGTTCCCTCCTTTGGTGGGAGATCGTCTGTTAACAGGAGGAAATCTAAAATTCCGAGGAAAATGGTGACTGATTTAGACTATCATCCTTTTGATAGTTCCTCAGATAGCAACTAAGTCTTTGTGGTGCACGATAAGCAATAAACACACTCTACTTGTGTTGTTTCCAATGGCTGTGGAAGGAGGAAGGCTGCCTCTTTAATGCTAATTGTGTCATTTCTGGTATTTCCAGATGATGGTAATTAATTCATGATGGTTTATAAGATCAGTTGATATGCCGCTACCTTAGAATTACAAAGTTCTATCTGACATTTTTGGCCATTTTGTGGTCACTAAGACTAAGACCATGAGCTTAGAAACCATATTTTCTGTCTACTCTATCGTCGAAATCGTTATATTCTTGAGAGTCTTTACCGAGATATTATAAGAATTGCATTAGAAAAAGTGTGACTTGTAGAACTCAAAATCTTTATCTTCAAATTTCTCAAAAATAGGTACTGAGCAGATAGAACTTTGTAATTCAAGGGTAGCAATGTTTTGATGGACAAATTGAAGGTAAATTACTCTAGGTTCCCTAAAAATGAAGTTGAGAATAAAAAGCAATGTGGTTTTTCTAAATTGTACTCATTCTGTCTCCAGTAAAGTTCGGATTAGGAAATTCAACGTTAGTGATCAGCATGGGACATAGAGACAAGTAGATTATTTCATTTCAAGTCTTTTACGTCTTTATAGAAATATTGATCAGAAGTCGGTTTCTATTGGATCTGACTTTTTGTGTGGAAGTGGAGGGCTCTGAAAAGCTGTGATCATTTGAAGTCTGTGCATTCATGTTTAGTAGATTTCAACTAACTCAGAATTCGTTTCTAATTTTGAAGCACAAATTATGTTATGCTGCACAGTGGATGCTTCTTATCAAAGTTAGTCCTCAGTTCTATAGTTATGTATTTTGTGATATGGCACTGTCACACTTTGAAACTATGGAATGATCTATACTATGTCTCTTGTATGATGATGACAGTAAAAATGATTATTTCTTTTTATGTGATTGTGATTTCCACATATCTCATTTTGCTTTCAGTCTAGAGACAGGTCTGGAAATCTCTCTACATCTTGTTGGCAAAGTAAAACGTTGAATGTACATTCTTAGGGTATTGGCGACAAAGATATTTTTTCCAAGGTCCAAGTATTATTATAATTGCCCTTGAATGCCTGTGGTCACACCAAGATTTTACTGTATTTTACTTTCAAACCTGTCCCCGCAGTTTTATCCCATAAAAATTCTTAAATTATGCGATTCTGTTAATTTTAACAAAGAATGATAAAGGAAAATAATCAGAAATTATGCAAAAAATGATCCAATTTTGCTAAATTATGCGGGGTGCATAATTAAACACCGGGGCCACTTTCAAACAGATGTATCAAGCCATTATTAAAAGACTGGAATAGGGTAGATTGATGGTGCTGGTGTGCAGGGGTTGAAGACTAAACTTGTCGAGCATGTTCAGTGGCTTTGGGAGACCTGGCGTAATGAAATTCTCATGCTTTTGCTTGAAGCTCTCTGTGATTGAAATTGGGGTAATCGGCAATCAGATATTGTAGCCTGGTATAGTCATTGTGTGCTTCAGTAAAGATTAACTGTCTGTATATTCTTAGCCTTTGCTTTATATAGCAATTGATTTTCCCTTTGATCTCGTCCTTGAGAGAAATAATTTTAACTCACAAAAATACTGCAAAAATGGCATGGTTTAAAACCTCCAAAATTTGTAGTAAATTAGTGCTATGTATGTGAAGTTCAGTATTGGTACTCATGATGAGTTGACAAAAGAATGCTACAACAGTGAATGAATCCCCCCCCCCAAAAAAAAAAACAAACAAAAAAAACCCCACTCAAAAAAACAAACCCCAAAATGACAAAGAAATTACGCTAGGTTCTGGAAATGGAAAAAATCCATTGGTGATTATATCAATGAGAGAATGAAATAGGCTTTAGTTGACCAATTTCTCTGACTCCTTGCCTATGGCTGTGCTGGACAGCTTACAATAAGACTAATGTAGTGATTTTATGAATACCAGCCAAGCCCTATTTTTATCAAAAGATATCATTGATTTTGTATATATTAATATTATCATAAATGTAGCAGGTTGCCTGCCTCTAAGTATTGCGTATGCTTTTCATTCTTTTGTGAAATAAACCACTGTCCTATTGCAGATGGCATTTTTCATATTTTCATAATTCCCAATCGTAGAAGAATTTTGTATTGTTTGCCATGACTTTGAGTACGCATCAGATTTGTTCAACTTAAAGTTTTGATTTGGATCGAAATAGACAGCAATGAGAAGCCACTGGTGCAGACTTAATGTTTTTAGTTGGCTTTAATTTTAATCTTGACAGCAGTCTAACAGTGTAGGTAAATCTTTTATCGATTTGTTTAATTAAGGCTAAGGTATTTTTCAGTGCTACCTTTTCTTCTAACAGGTAATATATGTATGAACAAAGTATTTCAACGTGTAAATAGTTTCCTCATTTGTAAGTATACATGATAATTTACTTCAGTGAAGCTCACAGGCATCTGATGTAACGATTAGGTGCTTTGTTGTAGCATGCAGGAGACCCGAGTGTGATTTCTGAGTGGGGAGAAATTTTTATTGAGTACCGTATCTCAGGTTTTTGCTTGGATGTTGTATCCCTCTCAGCCTTGTTTGGCCCTAACAGGCAATGTGGGAAGCCCACCTCCTATATGATCTCTGTGTGTAGATGGGGCTATGAAACGTGTGTATATTTAAGGAAAAGAAAATTTGCTTCGGTGAAGCCAGTTGTCAAAAAGTTTGAAATCGAATTGTTAATTCCAACTGACAAAAATGACTTAAAAAAAAAAAATCTCGTGTTAAGTCAGTAAAGTGTTAATTTTGATGTAACCTGTTTGTATTGAATGCCAAAGGCTGATTATGTATTATTTCTGTTCACTTTGGAATGTCATTTTACTTTAAGGTAAACCAACCGACAACACAGCTTTAAGTTTTTTGCAAGGGCAATGAAGATGGATTTTTTAAGTTTAAGCTCGATGCGGTTTTTATTGGAACCATATATAGCACTGCTGATGCCAAAATGTTTTTTTTAAAGGAAATATATGATGTTGTCTAATTCTTTGTTAAGTGGAATGTAATTGATCTTTGAGCCATTTGGCTCGAAGAAGGGGTTTGTCAAATTAAAATGTCATGTTTAATGTGTATTTCTAAAAATTCAAAAGATATGCTTTGTTGGATTAAAAGGCTGGTAGAGGTGGAGTTGAAAATAATTACACTTGTTGGTATTCCTTCTGCTTGGACAATGACCCCCACTTATTGCAACAGGGGTGTCAACTGTGTAGATTTTGTGCCATGAAAGATTTGATCTTAGTCATTCTACTCTTTTTTTGAGAGCAATGTTTTTGTTTACAAACAAGAGTCACACAAAGATTGATAAAGTTTACATATTGTAAAGGATAAAAAACGTAACTGTTCATCTGAACTGTGTTATTGTGTGTGAATATGTGTGCATTTATGTGTCTGATTTCCCGTGCAGTGGACTTTGTTTAAAATGAAATTTGGTTAGTTTTCTAAATTTATTAATGATGCCTTAAAAAAAAAAAAACCATGGAGAAAAGAAGGTAGCAACGTAGTTATAGTTTTTTGGGGGTCATTTAATTATGTTTTTTTGTGTCCTTTTGACAGTATTTTAAGCAAAGTCCACTGTGCATGGTCCTATTGAATATATTTGAGAGTTAATTTGCATCCTTGAGATTTTAATTTATATTTTACTGTAATTTTTGTACCCAAATACTCCTGGTCGTTCACAGACTAGCAACGTTCATGATATCGTAATTGAATTGATCATGTCCCCAGCTTCCTTCATGTGCTGTTTCCTTCTGATCCTTGTGTTTCCCTCTCTCTGGTTTAATTGTTGTTAGACATTGTGTTGCAGTCTGCCATTGGCATTCCAGTTTTGTTGGTTGTTCGAAGTAACTAGCATCCACATCTTGTGTAAGTGGAATTCTTTGGATGTCACTCTGTTGGGGTTTTTAAACATTTTTTTTTTCGGGGGGTGTATTTGTTGTTTGCTATGTTTTGTGCTGTTGTGTCTATATATAACTTTTTGTTATAATAAACCCTTAGACAACTTTTATCACCCCTCCTCTGGTCTAATCTTTCAGTACTTTCACTGACAAATCGTGAAATATCGGATATACAGTCGAACCTGTGTAAGACGGAATCGCAAGGGAGCAGTAAAAAAATTCCGTCTTAGACATTTTCCGTCTTAGACAGGGGAATTTAGGGGGAGGTGGGGGGGGGGGGTCAAAGGCCCAGCCGGTGGGATCAAGGATCGCTTGTCTGATCGGCAAGCAGTGGTCAAAACTTCACACCTCTCAATTGCTATCCTGTCTGAAAATGACATGCGTCAGTCTTACCATAAATCCAATTACCACCAGTGCTTGCCTTTCATAGGACCACTGTTTGACCTATTAAGAACAGAAACGTTTGAACATCTCCTTTGCTTCTACCCTTAGCCCCACCCACCAATGCCACCCCTCACTGAGATCATTGTAACAACGAGTAGAGGAACTCTTTTTTCGGCTGGCTGTACGATCAGGGCAACAGGCATTGGTCAATCTGATTTCACACCTCGGGCTTCTGGTTACCCAGGAAAGTTTCCGTAGTGGCTCGCTACTCTAGCACTGTCACGGGCAGTCGTGAGATTTCACACCCTCACTACCCTGACCATCTGCATTGCTCAGGGCTCACATGATGGGTAACATCTACCCCCCAAAAATTGCACCCCTACTCCCCTTCCTCGCCCAGCGGCATGGCCATAGCGTTAAGTTAAGAGCTGGAGGAACCAAACTTGCGAGTTTTGTTTCAAATCAGCGCTGACAGGGCAAAGCATTTTCCGTCTTAGACAGGTGAAATCCTCGAAAGGGAAAGGATTTTTCTTTCCGTTCCGCGTTGGACAGGTTTCCGTTTTATACAAGTAATTAAAGAGGAATATATTAAGGGGATAGTGGTTAGATTCCGTTAAGACAGGTTTCCGTTTTATACAGGATTCCGTTAAGGCAGGTTTGACTGTATATAAATAGGAGTTGTAATTTTTTTTCTTTCATTTCTATTGTCCTGGTATGAACACTTATTCATCATAGTAGATAGTTTCCCTTCAGCTGTTGGACTACAGCTGAAATATTTTATATCAATGACTCCAAGAATCAGCTGGCTTGCTGTGAACTGCCTGCAAATGCAATGAGGTTTTTGAAAAAGTGGCAACCATAGAGGCGGATCTTCTTTTTTTCATTAAAAAAAATTCAAAAATGAAAATTTGGTTAGAAACCAGGGGTATGCCTTGTGTAGGCCATAACATGCAGAGAATTTTGTTTGTATTTTATTGTGGGATGAAGCAGATTTGCTGCAAAATGCACCTGTTGTCTGTTTATCTCACAGTTACTCCTTTAAACAAAATCTGTAGCTACTTCTTGAAGTTGAAGTGACTTGTTTTTTTTGGTTCAGTTGGAGGGTGCAGTACTTCAAAGAAAACACATCTGTGGTTCTGTACATTTTACTTGTAAATCATATCTTTAGAATCTCCCAAATGTGTTAAAATTATACAAGTAGATATATAAGAAAAAGATGCAGACTTCTGAGATGATGTTCAGGTAATGCTTTGGTCTTGTAAACCAGTTTTTTATTGGCAAAAGTTGAAATCAACAGGGTATACTTGCATCCCATTTATCATCCCATGTTGTTAATTTTTTAATGCATTCAAGTGGACAACATTGATCCTATTGTGTAGTGCTGTGATTAGAGCGTGTTTAATAGAAAAAAAATAAGGAGTGAAAGTAGTGTTTCTTTCCCTCTCATTTTTCTTACAAAAGCGTTTCAGATAGGTCTAGATCTAGTAGCAACTCTTTTTTATATTGTGGAGTTGGAGACCTCTTTTTTTTCACATAAGTTTGCTTTTAAAAGCATAGTGTAGGAAAAGGGGGGTTAACGCTTTGCGGTCACTTGGTGCAATAATAATGCAACGGTGAAAATGATCCATTCCGGCCAGGAGACAGACCCGAGAAGTCGTTTGCAGTCACTCTCCTGGCTGGGTGACCAGATGGGATGTCTTGTACCGCTAGCTGTGTGACTGCAAAGTGTTAGGTCTAGTTATTTTTGTATCATACACAGCTCGGCAAGGAGGCATCTTGGCTGGGAAAGTGTGCCATATGTTGTAAGTCAGTTGTGACATTTTGGGGGTGGGGGGGGGGGTGTATTATCAGTTCCTTAGAGATCTAAGAGTTGTTTTTTAAGTTATTATTGTCGTTTTGTTTTTGCCTCATTGTCAGGGGTGATGAGAATTGAACTGTTGATCATTGTTAGATCTATGTTTTTTCATGTTTTGAGCGTCTTTGATGTCTTTTTGTAACTGTAATGATCTTTATGGTATTTGTTATGCCCTGAATTGTATACTGGCATGTTATGTTATTTTGCACAGGGTGATTAAAAAAGCATGAACCCATTTCATTTATGAAATATTTTAATGAGGAAAAACAATAGAAAACTAAAACCGAGTCACAAGTATTGTACCCACGGTCAGATTTTATTTCCTGTCTCACAAGTGTTCAATGAGCCCACCGCCAGCAGCAGGGGCAACATCAGTGCAATAAGAGAATTCATTCCAAACACGTCTCTGCATATCACAATCAACTGAGTAGATCGCTGTTGTTATTCGATGTTTAAGGTCATCCATTAGTGGAACATAAACTCGATCTTTTACAAGTCCCACAAGTAGAAATCACACACGATGAGTTCTGAGGATCTGGCAGGCCAAGCAAAGAGACAAGAGAGGTCTTGAGCCACTTTCTGACCAATCTATCACTGGGGCTCAGCTATTCAAAAAGAAAACTCCTCTTTCAAATGGTCGCCGACAGATTCCATAACGGTGCATGAGAACTGAAGCAATGCATCATAAAATCAGTTCGTTCTTTTTGAATCACCCTGTGCCTGTGTAAGACATTATTGAGTCTGGCCTCCAAGTGTGTGAAAAATTACAAACAAATTACTTTTCTTTCAGAATTTGTCTGTGTGACTTATTGTTCCAGTTGTGATAGTAGAGTGATCGCTGGATGTAAGTTTGCTTTGAGTTTGAGCCTGACTCTTCGGGAATTCTTTTTATATGACCTGTACTGTAATACTCAATGCTTTCTTGTTTTTTTAATCCTATCCGTACGTCGTTTTTCCTATCGCATCCATACAACGTGGGGAACTCTGTGCCACCACTTTCAAAGAGGAAATTTTCTCGTTAATCCGATCTGTATGCTTTGCATAGCAGTTTGTCAAAATGATTTTTTGAGAAATACTAAAAGTTTCAAAGAGATCTTCGAACTAAAAGTATTCTAAAATGTGAAGAATACAACTCCGGTGGTACAAAATGACCCCAGGGCGTACGGATAGGGTTAATTATTGTGGCAAAAGTAGGAAATAAACCCCAAAGCAAATATATGTTTACAAATTATTACACAACTGTTATAGAGACAGAATAGATGGAAGTAGGCTAAGCAAATGGGTGTGCAAAAAGATCATGAGCAAAGAGCACTTTCAATGTCTTACAGTCCGTCTTGTGGCAAATGGGGGCTGGGCCAAAAGTTTTCCAATTATACGGGGCTCTTGTTTCATTCTCTTCAGCTTCTCAAAGTTCTAATAAAACTTGGATCTTTCCTTTTGTTTGGGTTGTTCCCATTTTATTTCTTCTTTTAGTTTTTTCTTCTGCTAATCGAGAATGTCAAATATTTCAATCTCTTTCTCAGAAGGATTTTAGAGGTACTTTTGTTTGCCTGTTTCTTGGATTTCTGAGCTGAGTTTTATTGGATTCTATTTGTTTAGTAAAGTCTTTTCAGGCAGTGAGTTGCAAATATGCATTCTGTAAGTTTCTGTCTTGGAATTTTCTTGATCTCATTCTCATAGCCATTTAATGAATGTTGGTATTTTTGTTGGTCCCACCCTACCCTGTCTTGGATGGTGTGTAGTAGGGTATGGTTACTGTGGCCTCTGAGTAGCTTTTTCTGTGTTCGTCTGTGTTTTTAAAGTGAAAATCTACCAGCAACAAACTTTAAAGCTGTTCACGATTGTCTGTCACAGACAAAATCAGCCCTTTTATTATAGTCCATTGAGTCTGATAACTACGACTGTCATGTGGCTAGTTAAGTTGAATGAAAGACTGCTTTATGCACAGCAAATCAGATTTTTCTGCAATTTCCATTTTGAATGTTTCATATGTTTATGAAGCGGCCAGAGGCAAATTGTTTGTGGGGTTTTTTTGGTGGTTTTTACTTGTTTTCTTTGCTTTGAACAAGAGTTACGTAGGTATTAGTTCTGTTGCGCTAGTTTACGGAGTAATATTCCCTTCCTCCTAATAAGTTAAGTATGATTTGATAACTGCCCAAAGAATTTACTTTGCTTAAGATTAATGAAGTCTAATATTATTTTCTCTTAGTGTTATTAAAAGTACTGGTAAATTTGCAGAAGATTGTGAAAACAAAATCTTATAATATAAAGGGACAATACTAATACTATTAAAATGGAACTGGATAAACATGAATTGGTTCAATGCTGTCTCATTTTCTGGGCTA